AAGTGAAATTATAACTTACCGTTTTATAGGCCTGTCCTCCTCACTGGACTGGAACTCCTCAGAGGCAAAGATTTGGGTTTTGGCCATTTCTGGATCCTGTCCACTTTCTTGGTTTTTTTTAATTTTTAGATGTTTATTTGTTATGTATTTTGCCCTGCTGGGTCTCAGCTGTGGCACACGAGGTCTTTGATCTTCGTTGCAGTCTGTGGGATCTAGTTCCCTGACCAGGGATCGAACCCCAGCCTCCTTCATTGGGAGTGCAGAGTCTTAGCCACTGGATGCCCACCCCGCCCCACCTCCCGCCACCGGGAAGTTCCCTGTCCAGTTTCTTCCAGGCTGCTGGGCACAGCGGAAGTCCTTGAATGGATTCACGTGAAGAAGGGAGGAGGGTTTCTTCCACAAATGAACCTGTAGGCCCACCCTTCTAGAACCCACCCCCTTCCTCAGTGGTGAAACCACCTCAGAAGCCGGTGGCCAGGTCCTGAAAGCTAAAAAGTACTTGACACTGATGATACCGGAAGATGACTAAGCTGCTGACTCAAGAAAACCAACTTCCTCTTCCAAGATGGCTGCCTGACCGATTATCATGCTGTTCCGCCCAAACGCATCCTGGCCTCATGCCTGCCTACCACCTTTGCCTCCTCCTTCGTGGGCTGCCAGTTTGGCTCCAACAGCTTTCTCGTCCTTGCACCCTTCTGCTCAGTTGCTGTCTCAGATGTTGTCCAAATGATCCGTACTAACCCCTTCACACCTGGATCACGAAACCCTCACCACACAAGTCCACAGTGTGGACCACGTTCTCCCATCCCCAAATCAGGATACCGTCACTTGAAACCTGGGCTGTCCCAGCAAACCTGAGATATCCATTGGATTTATAGAAGCAACACTAAACCTCGATTCATTTTTAACTTAAATGATTTTGATAACCACAACTGCATGGGGAAGAAAAACAGTGAACAAAGCTTAATTGTGTCTGGCTATAGTTTTCATAGCAGTGGCGACCATATTCCTGTAACTTTCTAATGCAGTGGCTTTCTAAAATTTTAGTTGTATTGGCATATAGTTGATTTACAATGTTGTGTTAGTTTCAGGTATACAGCAAGGTGATTTGGTTATACATATATTCAATCTTTTTAAAATTCTTTTCTCTTACAGGCTATCACAGAACATGGAGTAGAGTTCCCTATGCTGTACAGTAGATTCTTGTTGGTTGTCTATTTTATGTATAATTGTGTATGTTCGTCCCAAGCTTCTGATTTATCCCTACTCTTTGTTGTTTAGTCACTAAACTCTGTCCAACTCTCTTGTGACCCCATGGACTGCAGCCCACCGGGCTCCTCTGTGGGATTTCCCAGGCAAGAATACTGGAGTGGGTTGTCAATTCCTTTTTCATCCCTCCCCTCTAATCCAGTGTTAATTTCAAATGTTCCCTTAGTGGAAACATTTTTTTTTAAATTTTATTGAAGGATAATTGCTTTATAGAATTTTGTTGTTTTTTTGTCTAACCTCAACATGAATCAGCCATAGGTATACATATGTCCTCTCCCTTTTGAACCTCCCTCCCATCTCCCTCCCCATCCCACCTCTCTAGGTTGATACAGAGCCCCTGTTTGAGTTTTCCTGAGCCATATAGCAAATTTCTGTTGGCTGTCTATCTTACACATGGTAATGTGAGTTTCCATGTTACTTTTTCCATACATCTCACCGTCTCCTCCCCTCTCCCCATGTCCACAAGTCTGTTCTCTATGTCTGTTTCTCCATTGCTGCCCTGTAAGTAAATTCTTAAGTACCATTTTTCTAGATTCTGTATATATGCATTAGAATACAATATTTATCTTTCTCTTTCTGACTTGCTTCACTCTGTATATTAGGTTCTAGGTTCATCCACCTCATTAGAGCTGACTTAAATGCGTTCCTTTTTATGGCAAAGTAATATTCCATCATGTGTATGTACCACAACTTCTTCACCCATTCATCTGTCGATGGACATCTAGGTGGCTTCCATGTTCTAGCTATTGTAAACAATGCTGCAATGAACAACAGGATGCATGTGTCTTTTTCAATTTTGGTTTCCTCAGGGTATATGCCTAGGAGTGGGATTGCTGGGTCATATGGTGGCTTTAATCCTAATTTTTTAAGGAATCTCCATACTGTCTTCCATAGTGGCTGTATCAATTTACACTCCTGTTAATGAAACATTTTTAATGCTGAATATTATCATTCATGTTGTATTGTTTTCAATAAAAACTTTTATTTATGTGTATAAAAAAGTGTGACATTTTATATACCATTGTAAGACTTTTCATCTGAAATCCCAGCCCAGCCCTGCAATCATCCCAGCCTGGTGCCAGATGATGAATGAAGAAGCCTCTAGAAGACTCCAGTCACCTGAGTTTTCCCAAATGAAGCAAAGACAAGACATCATACTCACCCTTTCTAAATTTCTGACCTACAAATTCATGAATGTTAGGAAAATGATTGTTTTATTTAAAAAAACACTAAGTAAAACTTTTCTCTGGCCACTTTTTAATTGGACATTTTTCTTAGTGTATGAAAATTTAGTTTTTACTGAAGTTTTAGAAGAAAAGGAGTATTGCCACCCACCCCCCAGAACCTTCCAGATTGAACTTTTAAATATTCTGATGCTTGGTGGTCCCTATTCCACCAAAAGCAGAACTTATGCCAGCCACACAGGGTCATGCCCACAACCTTGGGAGCACTCTCTACAGTGTAGAGAAAAAAGATGATTTGCTAGAAGGAATTCTAAGTGATGGAGCAGTTTCTATAGAACAGTGAATGCTGGATTTCAAATGCCCTGTCTGGCATCCTGGCTCCAGGACCCTTGCTGTTACTGACTTATCTGAAGCACACCTAAAGCCCTTGACAATTATATCATGGTGTTAGTCTTGCCTTCACTGAACAAAGCTCCTGGAAAGGTATTTCTCATTGACAACAGCTCCTGGCACTGTCATTGCAGGTACTCAATAGACAAACCCTTGCCTTTATATCAGTTTTCCCTGTGAGGAGGATAGCAGATACAGGCAACTAACCCACCACCGCAGGCCAGGCTTTCAGCTGAGAGATGGCCTCCGGCTTCCCTGAGGGATCCTATGAGGCAGTGATGTCATCAGTGCATTTTTCAGAAATGCCCAAGGTGCATCCAGAATGCCCTGCCAGCCTCTCCTAATCCTTATAAATTCAGTTTCTTCAGAACCCCCTCCAATCTCTCCAAGCACCTTCTTGAATTTGAGGCATTGGTGAAGAGGGTATAGAACACAGTATCTGGCATTTAAACCAATAAGTCTGGCTGGCAGGTTAGTAAATGAATAAATCTGGACTAACAAGAAGGTGAGCAGGTGGGTAGGTGAATAAAAGCATGAACCGTCACCAGGCATGCCCTGGAATGGTACCCTCCAGAGGAGAGGGATTCCCACTTATTCAAGGCCCCAGCCGGATCCCATTGACCCGACAGCATGAAATTTTTTCAAAATCCATTTTAAAAATGTTACTTAGAAACTAGAATATTTATGAACATGTAATCAAAGTGTGGCAAGACACTTGTAACTATCATTCAGTACGCACAGACATTCATTTATATCTAGTTGCTAGGTAATACATTTTTGAAATGTTCAATATTTTTTATCTACCACCTGTATTAGTGGGCCATTATTTCCCTCAACTAAAAGCAAAATATGTTTTCTATCACCATCAATATTCTTTAACTTTGAAGGAAACTTTTAAAGAGACAGGACTAGGAGAGTTTTACGATCCCATCCAGAGTTTCTCAACCTTACCTATGTGATTCAGAGTTTTACCTGGGGAGGCTTTTAAAAATCTCAATGTATTTTTTTTTTCTTTTTAAAAACATTTTCTTTTTTTTGTTGTTGTTTTCTTTTGTGCATTGTGTGTGTGGTTTGTCTTTTTTCTCTTTATGGTTTGGTATCCATGTTTTTAAAGGTTCCCAAGTGATTTCCGTGTGCAGCCAAGGCTTTAACCCACGTGCAGCTGAGCCTAGTAAAGAGACTTACTCTGCAAACGTGTAGGTTTTATGTTCCTTGTAAAAGTCAGACGTGAAACCAGCCCATGTCCTCATCCTGACCCCGCCTCGTCATCTCCCTCTTCTTTACACTTATTTCTGTCTTGGCGGTCGAGAGTGACTCATGGGCTGTGTCCGTGAGGATCCAAGCTCAGGGGAACTACGCTATCATTTTTTTGAAAGCTGTACTTTCCACTCATACTTTGGACTGAACTTCTGTGACCTGAAGGAGTTTTAGGGACTGAGGAAAGCATAGTTGAAATAAATCCTGAGGATTTTGCAAACCACCCTGAGCCAGAGCTGGCCCTTCCCCCCAATCGCAGGAATGTTCAGCAGCTGTACGGCAGCCCTACCGTCTGTCAGCGGGCTTGCTCCCCTCCCCCCCTCCCCCTCCCTCCCCCTCCCTCCCCCCTCCCCCCTCCCCTCCCCGCCTCCGCCCCCCCCCCCCCCCCACCGCGCACCTTTGTACTCTGTTCGTTGCCCCCAGTCAAAACCCAACCACGTGTCCCTTGGGGAGTCACTTTCTCCCCAATGCTCCCTACCATAGCAGCTTTGAAAAACTGTTTGTCTTCAACCCTAACTAGTCTCGTTTTCTGCTTTGACTGTTTAATTTCTGGACTAGGCCATGTCACTGACTCATTTGGAGAAGCAACATGTGAGGGTGCCCACCCACAAAATATCTTTTTCCAGGCTTTGGCATTGGCGGGGTGTGAAGAAGCACACGGGAGGGCAGACTTCCCCATTCACCTTCCGTGCCCATCCCTTTATCCTTCCGATGCCCACTAACCAGGTGGGGCTCAGCAGTGGGGGTTGAACCAAAAGACTTGCACACGCCAGTGCGTTGCTGTTATGTATTCAGTTTCCTATGTTCTTGAATAACAGGGGCCATGGGAAGGGGGAGAGAAACACTGGAAGAGCTGCCTGGCTGGATACATGACTTCTCTAAGTCCTAGGTTCCTACACTTTACAAGATCATCTTCCTACAGGAAAACCGGCTCCCACAAGGATAACAGGGGTTACAGGGGTCACAGGGGTTACAGGGGTTGCAGGGGTTGCAGGGGCTGCAGGGGTTGCAGGGGCTGCAGGGGCTGCAGGGGTTACAGGGAGACGTGCAAGGGTAGCAGGGAGACTCGATCTTGACGCAGCTGCCGAGCCCGTAGGAATACGTCACGTCCTTCTCGTCCACGCACGGGGGCAAGCTGAACTCTTTGCAGATGTTCATGTAGCTGTATTTCTTCGACCCCAGGCAGTCGTATCTGTTCTCGCGCTCGGCCGACACACACACCTTTCCGTCCTTCACGCGAACCTTGACTTGATCCGGTTCGAAGCCGCACACGTTCACCGATCCTAAAATGTTACTACTGCAGCAAGAGGAGGCCAGAATTCTATTTGTTGTTCTTCTCAGTCTGGAGGTTAAGGAAAGGAACGGGTGGGAGGGAGAAGCTCAGACCGCGGAACTCAGACACAACTGGACAAGCAACATCTTAACCTCTATTAAAGAAAAAAAAACCAGCGGAAGTAAATACTAGTCACTGTGAGGAGTCAAACTTTACAGAAGTGTGTGAAGTGAAAAATGAGAGTCCTTGGAAACCACACCCTCCCACAGGTAAACCCCTGCCTGTTAACTATCAGTGAGTGTTTGGTCTTCCAGATCTTTTCCTGGAAGTTTATTTTTTTGTTTATTTTTAATTCTTTTTCTTTCCAGGTTTATTGAGAGATAATTGACATACAGCATTGTAAATTTAAGGTGTACAGCATAATGATTTGACTTAACCTACATCGTGAAATGATTATCTCAGTAAGTTTAGTGATTATCTATCACTTCATATAGATACCGAATTAAACAGAAAGATCTTTTTCCTTGTGGTGAGAACACTTAGGATTTAGTCTCTTAACTTTCATATACAGCCTACAGCACTGTTAATTAATCGTATATTTCTTGCCTAGTATTATTTACCTTATAATTGAAAGTTTGTACCTTTGACCACCTTTATCCAATCCTCCCCCTTTCCCACCCCTCTAGTAACCACAAATCTGATCTCTTTTTCTGTCTGTCTGGTTGGTTTGTTGGTTGGGTTTTTCTAAAGTATAACTGACCTACAACATCCCTAGTGCACAACATAGTGATTTGATACTTTGTCCATTACAAAATGATCAGCCCTTTCTCTTGCATTTAAATTTCAACTCCTCCTCTTTTTAGTTATGGAAACATGGGCAGGCTCCTTAACCTCTCTTTGCCTCAGTTTCCTCATCTGTATATCTGGGACAATACCAGTAACCCATTTCTAGGGGTTTCATGAGACAGATTAGTTAATGAATGTAAAGGATCTATACTAGTGCTCCGAGCATGGTTAGCATGTTAAGCTTTTGTCTGGTGTGTGAGTGTGTGTGTGTGTCCCACAATGTGTCATGGAAAGTACTAAGCCATTGGAGGCATTGTTTTGTTTGACCTGCACAAGAACCCGGTCACGCAGGTGGAATTGTCACTGTTTTGTAGTTGGGGAGATGCTGAAGGTTGTGAGTGCAGAGCCTAGATTCAAATTCAGGCCTGTTTAATGCCAAGGTCATGATTTTAACCATCAGTTAAACTGGACTCTCGGCATGAGGACCCACTCAGTCTCGGAGGCCTGGCATCAGCCCTGCCTGCTCTGGGGTGCCTCAGGGACCACTTTCTTTCTAATTGCCTGATCCTTCCAAAGACAACCTAATGCTCTGAAATGCTCTTCTTTTTACTCCCTTAACATTAAAAAAAAAAAAAAAATCTGTATTCTAAGAGCCACTCCTGGCAAATCTTGCATCTTTGGCCTCCAAAGGGAGGTCTTGGTGTGTGTGCTTTCTAGAACCTCTTCTGGTTTGAGGAGTCTGGACTCTGATTGGGTGTTAATCTGAGACGCATTTTCTATTCTGACTTTTTATGCTGAATTTTGTTTATACACTTACAACTTTTTGTTACATAAGTTACACAAGTTCATTGCAGAAAACTCAAAATGTGCTGTGCTCAGTCGCTTTAAGCGTGGCCAACCCTGTGACCCCATGGACTGTAGCCTGCCCTCCCCTGCCCCCCACCCCAGTTCCTCTGTCCATGGGATTCTCCAGGCAACAACACTGGAGTGGGTAGCCATTCCCTTCTCCAGGGGATCTTCCTAACCCAGGGATTGAACCTGAGTCTCTTATGTCTCCTGAATTGACAGACGGGTTCTTTACCACTAGCGCCACCTGGTAAGCCCAGAAAATTCAAAGTACATATAAACAAAAAGATGGACTATTTTTTCTTTTTTTAACATACCCACAAAAGCCCTCTTGCCTTCTGCAGGAGATGGATCTGGGAGCCCGATCTACAAGCCAAAGCCAGCTCCCAGATCCATCTCCTCCTCTCAGCAATCTGAATCTTGGAGTATAAATTCATGTTTGCCTTGGGTTTTTCTTAGGTTTTCCCCTCTTCCACTATTCCTGTCACTCTGGCCCCCTCTCCCCTGCAGCCGATGCACGGGGGTCTCACAAATGTGGGTCTTCAGGAAATTGCCCCAGAAGTCTAGGCTGGATCAGGTTTCTTCTTCCTTTTGCTCCTAGGTCAGGTGTGACCTGTGGGGATGTGTGGGTTTAGGAGAAATTGCAGGAGCCTCATTTTACTCATTAGATTCAATTCCGAACTTGCAACCTGACTCCTACCTGGCAATGTACCATCACCCTACAAGAGATTTTCCTTGGCTCTGTGAGGTTCTGGGTAAAGGGAGATGGCCTGCTTTACTGTGATCATGAGGGCAGAGGTTAGTCACGGTCAACAGAGGCAAGTCAGCCTCTTTGGTGGGTGGCAGAAGCCTCTTAGGGAAACCGGGAAAGAGCAAGTGGGCAGTGCTGTTTGTCTGCCACTCGGGGGTGTCACCTCTCCTCCCGACTGAAACTGGATTTCACCTGAAGGCATGACCACACTCCTGAATGTGATTCTGCCCAGAGCAAAGGCGAGTGATACTGCCAGCTGTCTTCACAAAGAGATGAATCCGTTTTCTGCCGAGTGACGAATAAGGTAAAGAGGATGACGAGAACGCCAGTCTCTACACTGAACCAGAGGGTGGGTGATCTTCCTCTAGTTACTTTTTTTCTCCTAACAGACCCCTGCCAGTAACCCGTTAAGCTTACTTGTTCCTTTCCAACACATCTTTCCCTCTTCTTCTCCCTCTTCCTGTTTCCTTGCCTTGTCTATCTCCTGATTTTGGAGAAGTATGCCCCTCAGCAGGAGCCGGGTAGTACCACACAGGTGCAGCTGAACACCTAGGGCACTTGTTCAAACACAGGTGTCTGGGCCCCACCCCCAGAGTTTCTGATTCAGCTGATCTGAGGAGGGAACCAAGAATTTGCATTTCTAACAAGTTCCAGGTGATGCTGGCTGCTCATTTCAGCCGGGAGGTCACTCTGACCACTGGTGACCAGGCAGTTAAGCACATGGATTCCAGACTCGGGCAAACCTGGCCTTACGTCCCGGCTCTCCCGTATCCTGATGATCAAGAATGTTGCCCTCACTCTGTTTCATCATCTTTGAGTTGGCCAAGATGTTGCAAGGGTTAAATGAAGATGACGTGCTAGGTAAGTCTCTTCATCAGGCTCCTTACACAGCCTTACACAGACTTCCCTGAAATACGAGGCTTTAAGTGGCCAAGCCTCATATCCCATGTCATTAAACACGAAGGCCAAATAATGGACATGCACTTGGCCTACAGGGGCAGCAACTCCTGCTGCCCTGGGTGCCTGGGCCCTGAGACCTGTGGGAACAAAGAGATTGCGGTGAGAGTGGACCGAGGCGCCCAACTTGCTTCCAGCTCTGCAAGGTCACAGAGGGAAACAGCAAGCTCTCCTCTTAGTGGGAGAGTCAGCCTGCCACCAGCCATAAAATAAAGCCGTGGAGCTCCTGGGTTCCTCTCTGCTGGCTTCCCACGTTGTAACTATGCCCTGATCTTTGGGTCAGAGAATGAGGTAAGTGGGGGAGAGTGGAATGATTTGCCCGAGGGCTTAAAACCCAAGGAGGCACTGCTAAACCACAAAGAATTCACTCTGGGGGCTGACAGTCATCAGCCTGCCCCAGTGAGCGTGATGCAGGGAGAAATTCATACTCAGAGTGTGAGGGGTAAAAGGAAATGAGAAGGCTGGTTTCTGAAGTTCTCAGAAGATGATGCCTCTGAGGTGGGGTTTTTTTTAAGGGAACTTCTTGAGCTGTAGGTCAACCAAGGATACTTGGATGAGTGGACGAAGCAGTCTCAGGATGAACTTCCAGGTACCTGCAAAGGGTCCAGCGTTGAGCCTAGGGAATTCCTAGGTGCAGCTGCAAATCAAGGTTCATTTGCCCAGGAACACTAGAGCCAGGTGTTAGAGCCACTCCTATATGAGCTATAATAAGATAATGAACTCCTAAGGGCAGGATGGCTCTTACCCAGAGGGTAAAGCATCTGCCTGTAATGTGGAAGACCGGGGTTCGATTCCTGCGTCGGGAAGATCCCCTGGAGAAGGAAATGGCAAGCCACTCCAGTACTCTTGCCTGGAAAATTCCATGGAAGGAGGAGCCTGGTAAACTACAGTCTGTGGGATTGCAAAGAGTCGCACACGACTGCGAAATTTCACTTCTAAGGGCAGGATTGAGGAGGGGCTGGCTTTGTTTCTACTATTTGCATATAGAGGACAGGAAGCCCACTAAATGTGGGGGTGAATCAAGTGCAAACTTACATCAGGTTGGTCACATGGTTTCTTACAAGAGAAATGAAACAAAGTAACTTCAGTCTCTCAATTCAGAGAAGGAAGGAAGGAAGGGTCAGGAAAAAGGCTAGTGCTTGGAGTACAAAAGTAATTTTGGGAGGAGAAAGGAATTTCGAAGAAGCTAATGAAATGAAGTTACTTGGGTCTCCACTATTGAAGATACTGCCAAGGTGTCTTTAGAAGTAGCTGCTCAATAAACAATGGAAAGAATTTGGACCTTCTGTACCCAGACTAAAAACACAGAACATACACACATACACACACACACACACACACACACACAATTAAATACACACCAATCAAATACACACTCAGGAAGGCTCAAATGAGTTTTGGGGGAAATTATATGGTCTGCCAAAACTTCTTGCCCATTATTAACGGAACAACCAGAGACAGCACATAGACTCTGACACAGAAAAACAATTCCAGTGGGGCCATGGCAACTCTAGACCAAGGAATCTTCTCCATTGGGCACAGAATCTTCTGGATAACATGTCCTGGCATCTAAGTGGACATGTCATATTTTGCTTTAAGGGGTAAAAGGTCACGTGCATATGCTTTCTAAATTCTAAAAACCTTGGGAAGGTTTCACACCAAAGATTGTTTTTTAAAAATCAAATCAACATGATATTTCTGAATCCTTTCAGTCGTGGATTGGGAGCTGAGAGATAAGAAAAGAGGCATTTCACTGAAAAAAAAATAATAGTGGGAGTCCTCTGGGACTAGAGCTGGACCAGGCTTTAACAGTTTCATTCATATTCAGAAATTTGAATATTTAGGTTTGCAGGTAACTCTAAGCTTTTCAGGACAGTGAAATCTCAAACTGTTAGAAATAGAGCATAGGAGAGTTTCCCAAGGTGGTCTGAGTAGGAAGAAAAATAGCTGGGAAGAGGGCAGACCTGAGATCATTTCTGAAATGGACTCAGGATTATCAGTTCAGAGATCCCAGAAGACATCAACAGCTTCATATAGTGCTGCAGGCAACAGGAAAAAAAATTAGCAAAAAATCCAGACATTGTTAGGAAAAGTATCACAAACCATAGAAAGCATTACCTCTTATATAAACCACACTGCTGAGATTTAAGCTTGAAGTTGTGTCTACTGCAGATCTGGGAGTAGAGACTCCCGGAGTGGGTCACTGGGACTCCCAGGTGGAGGGTGCCCAGGTGGTGAAGAACTCACCTGGACAGTCTGGAGAATAGGACAGCCAGGAGACAGAGGTTGAGCAGACTTGGAGGAAGGGTATTTGAATAGTCAGAGGCACGGGGAAGTAGACACAGACTACTCAAAAGTACCTTCATTTAGACCAAATATTTAAAAAAGGACCCTTGCATGAAACTTATATAACTTGATACTTGATGGGATAAAAATTAAAATTGGTTCAGATTGAGTGTAGATGAGTTTATTGGCAATGAATGGTCCCATCTCAGACTATTGAAGGAAGTTCATTACTGACCTTTGCTGGCCAATGACCTAGACAATAATTGCTCTATTGCCCCATTCCAGGGAATCATCACTATCACTACTGTCAAGGGCTTCATTCTGTCTCTTTCTGTCTTCATCCATCCATCCACCATCCTCTTTTCTTCCTTCCTCTCTTTCCTTCTCCTTTCTCCCCTTCCTTCCTTCTTTCCTTCCCTCCTTTTTCATTCTTCCTGTCTGTCTGTTCATCTATTAATATATCTGTCTATCCGTCTAATCTATCATCTAATCTATTAATCTATAAGATTAGATAGATAAGAAGGACGTTGTTTAAGGATACAAATTGGCAATGACTAGTAAATCCTAGAGATCTAATGCACAGTATAGTAAATATAGACGAAATATTGCATTATAAGCATCAAACTGCTAAGAGGCTAGGACTTAATCAATCACTAAAAAGAAAGAATTATGTAACACAATTTGTTGTCGTTGTTCTTTAGTCACTAAGTCCTGTCCAACTCTTTGTGACCCCATGGGCTGTAGCCCGCCAGGCTCCTCTGTCCATGGGATTTCCCAGGCAAGAGTACTGGAGTGGGTTGCCATTGCCTTCTCCAGGGAATCTTCCCAACCTGGAGTTGGAACCCTCATCTCCTACACTGGCAGACGGATTTTTTACCACTGAGTCACTAGGGAAGCCCCTGTGTAGCCCGGGAATTAGAGATGCTAATTATTGCTACAATGGCAATCATATTATAATATGTAAATGTATCAAGTTAGCAACATTGTACACCTTAAATTTACACAATGTTATGTCAAATATAATTAAATAAAAAGATCATCTGTGTCCATCTTTTAAAAAATAGTAGCATATTAAGTAGTTTTTCTGTACCTTGCTTTTTTCACTTAGTATGACAATACTTAAAATTCTTCATCAGTTCTTTTTACAGCTACATACTATCCCAGCATATGAATGTACCATAATTTGTTTAACCAGCTGACAATGCTTTCAACTATTTTTTTCTATCATAGTTACAGACTAAAATGGCATATGTAGACAGAAAAAGAAAGTTTTCTCAGGCAAAAAGTAAAATGTGATGAAAACCAAAACTTGTAAAGTGCATTTAACATTATCCAGTTCAATTAAAACCTTTTCAACTGTATTCTGAATATTGTGGCTTCAGTTCTGTAATTTCTTTACACAATCTTTACTATAGTTGAAGGGGGAGGCAGACAATAAACCCAATACCAGATGAATTTGAAGGCATCAAGAGTTGGAGAATAGGAGAAAGGATTTCCTACAAAACCAAATAAATGCCTCTATTGTTCAATTTGCTCCCCTGCTCTTAAAGCCTCTGGCAAACGTTTGACTTGATCAATTATTATTTCTCCCATAGTCATTTCTGTAAGCCGAAATACACTCAAATCACTTTACTCATAGCCAGAAAAAATGTTGTCTGCTGCTCCCAATAGCTTTTTAACGACACCCCCTGTTTCTTTCCCTCATTAAAGCCACATTATTTATCACGTTGATGCTCCTGCCATAATCCGAAAAGAACCTTGCCAATCGACATCATTACACTGTCTTTTGAGAATCTTACAATTCCCATTATGGACCCCTTTACTCTTCTGTTCTTAAATCTTTTCTGTGTCACCAGAGTCATTATCTTGAACCTGGTTCATCTTTGTTCAAGTATCGATTGTCACCCTCTCCTCCCTTATTCCAACCTAGGAGGCTAACACGCCCACTGTAGCAACCTGAAGATGTTGTCTTACTTGGCGAGCTCTCTCTTCTCGTCCTCTATGGCTCGAATGGCTTTCCTCTCCAAACTTCTGAGAGACGGGCGGAGACAGTAAAGCTTAACGTCACACAGGCAGCACGGGTAGAGGTCGCACAGGCCGCAGGAGCGTGACCGCTTTGAGTAGCACAGGCAGTAGGGGTAGGGGTGCAGGTCGCAGCAGCAGTAGGGGTGCATGTACAGGTCGCACAGGCACCGAGCGCTGAGCTCGTCGATACATCTCAGCTGCCTCAGTTCTCTGTCCACCTTCTTGATGTCCCTTCTAACACTGTCCAAAAGACAACTCAGTGCAGCCATTACAGTCACACCTTATTGTTCTGTGAGTACCTTTGGGAAATGGCACTCGGGGGGAAAAAATTGCTCTAAGCTCTTCTCAGAGGTTTCTTTTAAAAATAAATGAGGCACACATGGCTCACTCACTTTAAAGCTTGGCTTCTATGACCTCACCACCCACTTAAGTATGTCATAGTCTTTCGGTTGCCACGAGAACTGTACACAGTCAAGCTCTCCAGAGGCTCTCCTTAGAGTTACAGAGCTCCTCTCAGAACCACCCTGACGTTAAGATTTCATTCACCTTGAAGGGGGGTGGGCCCCCCGCATCATCACAGTTCCTTGGGGTTCATCGGGCTAAATCGTCCTGCTCTTGACTTGTGTGTGTGTCCTCTGGATTAGCCACAGCAATGAAGATCTTAGTGCGCAGGGTAGAAGGAGCTGCCTGGCTCCTTCCGTCAGGACCTTCTCGCTCCAGCCTCCACATCTAGCCTTGCCCCTTATACTCTAGGATTCATTCTGGCTTCTATTCCTTTATTGGTAGAATATTAAGAGCTCCCCAGGGGTTCTCCTTACCAAACTAACCTTGAGTCAGCCTTTGTCCTTGACCACCTGAGCCCCCATGTCTGGGTCCTGCCCATTCTTTATCAGCTGGCATCCTGGCTATCCTAGGACCTCAGTTCTCCTGTGACCAGGGTCCTGCTCTTAAGCTCCCATCTCTCAGAGCTCAGAGTCTTGTCCTGTCACCACCTCCCAGCAACTATGCCTCTGGTCTTACGTCCAAGCTGCCAGATTCCCTATTCCCAAGTGCTTCCCAAGTGTTGGTCCCTGATACTCAGAGCCAACTGCCTGAAGTTGCCTGAAACCAAGTGTCTGAAACCCTGACTTGGGCCAGTTTTCTATGCTCTCAGCTGGGTCAACACACTGGACCTGGGGCTCAGCCCTCAGCCTTGGCTCAGGTACTTCTGCTCCTCTGAGCCATTCCCCTCAAACTGCTCTCTGCCTCGCAAATTCTCTTTTAGTGGACCAAGGCCTAGGGTACTTGAGGACAAGTGGTTGGAGGTGGCATTGGAGACGGAGACAAGGGCCGGGTTTAAGGGGACTTGTGGCCAGTTAGGGCGTTTGAACTTTATTTGAACATAATGTGGACTCACTGGTTTTCCTTTCTGTTGAGAGAAGTTGAAAGGTAAGCCACACTGAAGGTGGAGCATGAGGGGGGAAATAGTAGCAATGTCTTCTGCTGGAAGGCAGGAGACAGGCAAATTCAAGGCTGGGGACCATGGTCGTCGAAGTGGCAGGAAGGAAGCTAATGGGCTGTCTTTCTCTACCCCCCCACATCCGCTCAGGTGCTACCTAATCCACTCTCTATGTTGTAGCCAGAATGATGTTCATGCATAAATCTATTACCCTTCAACTCTACCCTCCCCTCAAAGTCTTCAGATTCTTCTCTGTCCTCTTAGGAGAAGGCCCAACATCCTTAGAAGATGTGGAACAGCAGGGCCTCTGCCTGCCTCTCCAGTCTCTTCTGTTACCCTGCAACTTGTTCTGCATGAGCCACAGAGGCTTCCTTGAAGTCTCTCTCATTCCGCCTCCTTCTGGACAGCGTTCTGCATAGAAGTAGAACGCCCCACCCCAGCCCTCAATCTAGTTAACTCCTAAGGCATTCTTTAGCTCTTCTCTTAAATGGTCTTCCTTCAAGGGCTTCCCTGTATATGCTAAACTGTCTATGTCTTTCATAACATCGTTTGCTGTTTCCCCAGCTGGACTGTAAGCTCCGAGAGGGCAGGGACCAATTATTTTTGCTCACCATTAGATCCTCAACACGATGTCTGGTATAGAATAGGTTAAAATTGATTCACGAAATGAATAAAATAGTATTTAGTGAACAGAATGAGGATAGAGCGAGAGAGGTGTAATGACTCAAGTTTCCTGCTTGACCGAACCGTGGTGCCATTGACTGAGATAAGAAACACAGGAAGAAAAGTAAGCTTGGAGGACGTGCTGAGTTTGAGGTGCTGATGACAACCTTAAGGTAGAAATGTGGAGTACCGTGTGGGTAAGTGGGTCTGGAACTTGAGAGAAAGCTGAGTCAGAGATAATAAAATTCAGGATCTTGAGTGGGCTAGATCACTCAAGAGGAGAAATAGATTGAAAAAATGAAGAGGACTAATGCAGACTCCTAAAGAAAAATGATAAGAGATGAGAGAATTAAAGGAGCTCATGAAAGTCTCATAGAAGAAATACGAGAAGAAAGAGTTCCCTCTGCCGAAGTCCCTTGTGTATCACTAGACCAAGTCCAGTAGTCCCCAGTCTTGACCTAGGAACTCCCTTTCTGTAGAAATGAAGCATTTTAGTAAAGAAAACAAATTTCCCTGAAGACGCTAGAATGAGGGAGGCTGGAGTCTGAGACAACGGGTTGAGTTAGAAAAACCTCCTCTGTGGACAAATGGTGAAGTCTTTCAAGAGTGATTCCATCTCATTCTGAAGGTAGACTCTGTTAATAGGAATATGGCCTGTTCTCTTCCTGAGGGTTCATTGTGGAACTGTTCAGATTTCTCTAGTTCCAAGGGATGGACTTTGAACTTTTATATCACCACAAATTCCATCCCTTAGCAAATGTCAGCAAAGGTCAAAACAAGCAAGCTCTCAGTTTTAAATTCATAGATATATAGGTTCAGGAATTTAAGTACGCACACATCTGTATTATACATGACACATTATGAAGATAGCTATAGCTTTATTTTAACTAGGATTCCCCCATGATTCCATCCTCCTAGTAACTGCACTCTATCATGATGCATATTCTTGACATCATTTCAAGTGACTTAACAAAGGTAGTGACCTCCTTAAAGATCAGAGGGAAATGTGATCTATTCATGTCAGAAGGGCAATGTAGAATTCATTAGAACCTGCAGAAACCCACAGGAACAATCTAGAGTCACAGTTCACTGCAGCATAAACACTAGAATTCCTTCAATGTTTGTACAATGGAGATGAGGGGCTTTCCTTATATAGGACCATGTCTGGGGAAGCTTCCGCCGCCTTGGCTGGTGTCCAGATTGAACTTTCTGTGGGATGGAGGGCAAGTGGATGCTTGGTCCCCAGTATTGGTAGAACTGTGTGCCCAAAGGGGTCTCCTCTCTCTCTCACTAGGTGTGACAGCTAAGTCATTTATTAGGCCAGTGGCACAAAAATATTCCTCTAGCAGTTACTGGTGCTTAAACATCAAGGTCAAAGTCACCCTCAAGGATTAAGTGTGGTCATATCTCAGTAGTGGAATTAAAGATGGTTTTAAAAATTCTCTTCCTAGACTTTTCTGCCACTTCTTAGTTTCTTTGATAAGAATATCACCAATGTTTTAATGAAACAATTTCTGATAGTATGTTGTCTGCCACACTATCAGTTTTGCCCTGAACTGCTAAGCCCACCTCCAGCCTCTTCTTCTATCATCTAGGTGGGCTCCAAGGCTATCTCTCTGAGCAGATTTGCCTCTGGGTCTTCCTGTAAGGGACATCTAATACTTTCCCTACTCATCATCCATGGCATCCTCTCCTGATAAAATAACTCTCTCTTCTCTTCCCCTGCCCTCTGCCATTAGGTACCATCAATAATGTTGCCCAGTAAAGGGGCATACATGTAACAAAAGCTGGCCTATCCGAACTTCCTCTGGGAATTTGATCTTTCACAGAGAGACAGAAGATGTTCGGAGCTGATTCATGTGGACAGTGGACCCCAAAGAGACTACAGCTTCATTACGGCCTTGTTCTGTTGTTTTCAAGTTGGTTCTCTGGCTTTCCCTTGAGTCTCTGAATGCGTCCATGTCCTTCCAACATATTCCTGCTTCTCTTCAGTTATCCAGTCTGATTCAGCTACCTGTCACTGAAGCACACAACTGACATGACAAGGCTGTTCCCTGGATTTATCCAAGAGGACCACTCCAGGCCAAACGTGTAGGTCTACCTTCGCTCCAGTGGATGTTGTCTGGTGCTAGTCTAGCTCCTCCCTCTTAATTCAGAGCTAGCTGCATCAGGGCAGCCACCAATCCTGAAGGCCCTGGGCAATGGGCAATGGGGATGACTCACACTAGGGAAAGTGTCTGGAAACACCCACAAGGGCTCACCCGTGGACACTATCCCTGGGCCAAGAGAGACTTTCCTGGCATTTGGAGCCTCAGAACTTCAGCTTTGGAAAATCCAAGTCATCCAGACCACTTCCTACCCAGCAAGGAATCTCTGCTGGAGCACCCAAGGCAGATAAGGATGGAAGAGCTGGGGGGCTTGTATAAGTGATGGAGTGCTCCCTCATGGGCTAGTGCTCCCTCATCAGGGCTCCTATGGCCAACCATATTGGTCCACATCATTCATCTCCTTCTTCCTCCCCACCTCCACAAGGAGCGTTGACAGATATCTTCCTGCTAAATCAGGGAAGGGATAAGGTGGAGGAGGATGTTGGTAAGTTACTCTTACAACTGCACCCAACAGTGGTGAACTCTGTTGGGGTCCAAGCGGCTGCAGCACAGTGGATGTTCTTGGTTAGCAGGATCTGAAAGAGCATCTCATGAGGTGTTTTCCTCTTTTTTCCCCAGCAAATATGATCATCCAGGCATTACTGAGAAGGAGTCATGAGAATTTGGGCGCTTCCTAGGTGATGCTAGTGGTAAAGAACCTGCCTGCCATGCAGGAGACATAAGGATGTGGGCTTGATCCCTGGGTTGGAAAGATCCCCTGGAGGAGGGCATGGCAACCTACTCCAGTATTCTTATCTGAAGAACCCCATGGACAGAGGAGCCTGGTGGGCTGCAGTCCATGGGGTGGCAAGAGTCAGACATGACTTAGGGACAAAACAACAATACCACCTTCAAGACCAGGGGTTGACATACAGGTTTGCACCCCACTGAAGCTAGCTGCATCACTTAAACTGGACAAATTGGATGGACTACCATGGCCACTTGGTATTTCCACCTCATTTCCAACCTGCATCTCCATGGGATTTTCCAGGCAAAAATACTGGAGTAGGTTGCCATTTCC